ACCCACACAACCACACACATAAACACTGGCACAAACACACTACCTCTGTCTTCCATGGACATACCCACACAACCACACACATAAACACTGGCACAAACACACTACCTCTGTCTTACATGGACATACATCAGAATATCCCACTCACTCATCAGGCTGGCTTAGCAATCCCATACCCTCCCCCCCACTCCAAAGCACAGTATAACAGGCAGGATACCCTCCGCCAATCGCAGACACGTGATTACATGCTGATGTGTTGCTGTATATATGGTGTCCCAAACAACAGAAACACTGAGAAACAGGCTTGTACACCTTGCATACCTATCTCCCAATCTATCTCTACCTCATATGCATCTCTGTGTATCTCTCTCTCTCTCTCTCTCTCTCTCTCTCTCTCTCTCTCACACACACACACACACACACACACACACACACACACACACACATACAAATTCGCCGAAGGACAGGTGCAGTAAATGAAGGACCTGCTTTTCCTCAGCACCAGGCACTGGAGGACAGGATGTGTTGTGGTTTCTTGGCTGCTCCTGGCCGGCCCTATGCCGGGTCCCTGTCTGGAAGGAAGCCCAACCAGGGACAAAGTCCACCCAGGCCAAGCCATAGCCTCAGCCTCCACTGCCCTTTGCTGGAGTTCAGAGGCCAGGGGCTTCCAACAATCCTGCTCCAGGCTCTATTCTGCAGCCTGGGGACAGGCCAGGTTCCAAAGGACAGCTGTCCCAGAGGCCTCAAGCTGCCATTTCAGGACCCAATCAGTGCTTTACTCCCCTTGTGTCCCTCCATCCCCCCAATAACAGATCCTGCGGTCCCTATTTTACTGATAAGAAAACTGGGGTTTGGAATCATCAAGGATCCTGCTGAAGAGCTAAGACTAAGGCTGACGCCAGAATCCAGTTCCATCTGGTTAGAACTTCAAGTGTCAAAGTTCTGCCTATCTTTTCGGTAGCCCAGCTCCCCTGTGGAGGGTCCCTGGGTAGAAAGGGACAAGGAAGAGGAGTGGTCCTTCCCAGAAACTATGCTCAAGTAGCCCAGGACACATTTTTCAGAACTCAGGTCAGCCATCATTCGTCTTGCAAGGAAATGTAACTTCTGGCCTCGCCAGACCTGCTCCCTCATCCTTCCTGCCCCCCAGGAGGAAGGTGTGAGCCGAGAACTGGGGTCTGCAAGTTTTGTTTCCCTGTTCCTAAGCTGCTGGACCACATCGCCTAGGGAACCCTGTTTCTAAGCACTCACCTCGTCATGAGTAACATGAAGGGAGACATTCTAATCTTGCTGACCTCACCGACAGAAAGTAAACCACAAGGTTTCCTTTCAAGTCTCATGTGTGTTCATGAGGTCATGTCAGAATGATTGCAGTCTAACCTCAAAGCTGCGTGCTACCCAGACCTCTGCTGCAGTGGGAGTTGTCAGTGCCCCTATCCAAAGCACCAGCATGCCTCTTTGCTGGCTGCCTGATTTTTCTGCCACCCAGATGCTGCTATGAACCAGGGCTGCAGCGTAACACGATGTAAGGAGGTTCAGGGAGCCTAACACTTCTGGGCAAGGGGTTTAGGGGAGAAGACGGGCAGGCCCCAAGTTTGGCCCTCTCTGCTCCCTTATCCCCAACCTGGTCTTCAAACTTGGCCTGCAGCAGCCTTGGAGCAGGAAGCTCACTGCTCCCCCACTTTCCAGGCTTCCAAGAGGGAACTCAGCAGTGGATCTGCAGTTGTGGCACTGGAAAGATCCCAATGTCACCAGGAAAGCCATGGCCTGTGGGGGAACCGTGAGGACGGTGCCAGGGCCTGGGGAAGGTGTCTCTTGGAATCAGCTGGGCCTGGAGAATGGGGAGGAAGGGAGAGGATTCAGCTGGAAAGGGACTTGAGGGCTGAAACAGGGCTGGCATCTTCCTGGGAAGGCACATCTGCTCACAACTGGATTCTCAGTCAGGGTAAAGTTTGCCCCTCTCCCATTTCAGACCAAGTTCAAGCCTATGCAGGCCCACTCCCCAAAGGTTTCAGTCCTTTAGGTCTGGCGGACACAGGAAATGGGCATTCATTATACAGGACACTGCACAGGCCTGCACCTCTTCTGCTCTGGAGTGTCCTGGCACTTTTGAACAACCACCCTCCCCTCAAGCAGCTGACCATCACACCCAGGGCAGGGCAAGGGCCTGGGGCAGGACACACAGGCAGGACAGAGAAAGAGTCAGAGAAGAGTCCTCGAGAGTCCAGCTGCAACCTATTCTTTGGGGACTTGAAGGAGGTAGGATGTTCCTGTGTCCCAGTATGCTTTCTGCTGGGTTATTAATCAAAGGGGGCCTGGAATGGGTGTTAGTGGAGCCTGGTTGATTCAGAAGGAGCAGGGAACCTGCTGCATGCTTGCTGCAGAGGCTGGGGTGGGGGTGGCAATCCAGTGCCACCTGGGAGGTCATCAGGAAGGACAACAAGCTGCCACTGGCAGGGTCCCTGGGGCTATGAGTCAAAGACTGTAATGAGGGGCCAAGAATGGGGGGAAGGAGCTAGATTTCCACAACCAGGCCTTTTCAGTCCTCTAGAGATTAATGGGCAACCCCCCAACACACACACACACACACACACACACACACACACACACACACGACACACACACGAGAACAGAGGGAGGTACCACAGAGGTCCTGGGTACAGAAGGAAGGAAGAAGGCCGGTGGGTTTTGGAAAAAGGAGTTGAAAAAGTGGTTAAGAAAGACAAAGATGCGTCGCAGAAGTCAGAGCAAGGCAACCGCGGGGCAGCTGGTGCCCTGGCAGAGGAGCTGTGGCCGAGAAGTGGGGCGTCTTGTCAGGATGAGCGTAGTCACCTGGTCTCCATTCCCCCCCCTGGACATCCCAACTCCTTAGTCCCTTTCTGCCTTCAACCTTGCACTTCCCCTGTCTGGGGTCCTGGAGTTTCACTCAAGTCCAAGGGCCCTTCCGCTAGCCCCAGCGCCCGCAGAACACCGCAGCATCCCCCTCCCGTTTGTCGCCTGGGTCCCGGGGGCTCACCTGGGGGCGGGGACCGGCCCTGCCCACCGCCCCGAGCAGCAGGAGCGCCAGGCGCAGCAGGCTGGGGGCGCCGGCCATGGCGGGGCGCTCAGGACTGGACCATAGCTGCCACCTGCGGAACCGCGCACCGCGACTGATCCCTGCCGGGCTGCGGGGGAGGAGTCCGATGTGGGGCCGCCCCGCCTGCCCGCGGGAGGGACCGGGCGGGGTCCCAGACGTCTTCCGCCCGGGTCTCTGGAGGCCGGGGGGCCAGACAGGCCACCAATGTCCCGGGCCAGGAGGTGCCTTACGCTGCGCTCCCTGCAGGCACCACTCAGGTTTAGGAACCGCAGGAGCGGAGCCAACAGCTCTGAGCGCCCGTGGTGCTTGCGCCTGGGCAGTTCGCTGCGACCAGTGGTGCCCGCCTCCCACCCCCGCACCCCATCTCCTCCGGGCTCCCCCTCAACTAAGGAGAGCCACGCCCCCACCAAGTCAGTGCTTCGGAAAGGAAACTGAGGCCAGGGAAGGTGTAGGATTGGTACAAGGTCACCATGTGTACCAGATTTCTCCTGGAAAGTGTATCCCACTGGCTGCTAATGACTGGGGAAGAAAGATCCACTGAGTGGGGCCACCTAACAACCCCAGTCCCCTCCTCATCCCAAGCCCAGCCTTATGGGCAGACCTGGGAGTCAAGGCTGTAGGGATTGGGACAGAAAATGCAAGCAAGGTCCTCAGGTTCTCTTCTATCTGGAAACTTTAGAAATTGCAGGGTGGAGAGGGTTGAGGCTGGAGGTCTGTCTTTCTAGAACTTTCCCAGTGTTCCTTGCCCGACCTTCGCAGCCTCTGGTCCCGCTACTTACTATACCCACTGCGCAGGTGGGATCGTGAGCATCCTGACTGGCATTCCGTGTGCACGTCACAGTCTTCCTGCTTTGTGCAGACTCGTGTCTATCTTTCCCCCGCTTTGCCCCTGCCTACAGGACAGGTTGGGGGAATTCAACTCATGACCAGGCAAGCAGAGAGGGTTCAACTAGCCCTCCTGAGGAAACAAGGACGACAAGAGGACACCCCTTTCCAAGAAGGAAAGTTGAGTATGGCTCTACCCAGTTCCGGATCTGCCTGCGGCTAGTCTGGACCATTCTAGAAGGAAAAGGAGATACTGAGCATAGCGGTAACTCTCGGAGAACACAGAACTTCTCAAGGGCCTGAGGGACAGGGGACTGCACATCCAGGACTCCATCCTCAGAGGGAGACAGCCAGGAGAGGAGCCTGTGCTGCCTCTGCCTCCTGAGTTCCTTGTTCTCACTCCACCCAGAGGTCAAACAGCTTCCCTCTGTGTGACACACAGGCTTAGGCTGTTGAGGTGTCGATAAAGAAAATCCTACCCCCCCCCCAAAATTATGTAACTGGGACTTTATGGAAAGCAAGACTGGAGGTTCAGCTAGCTTGGAGTGAGTAGCCATTCTCTGACCATCAGGGTCTCCAGATCTTTTAGGTTCTCTGGTTCCAGGCATCTATCTAAATGACACGAAGTGCTTGCTCTAGACCCAATCATGACATCCAAAGTCTAGTCTGCAAGAAAGAACCAGCTGATTGCCCACAGGGCCACTTACTAACATACCAACCATCGATTCAGCACCTATTGGTCAGAATTTATTCCCATAGTCACCCCTAGTTTCAAGAGAGGCTGGAAAACATACCTTTTGACCAAACTGGCCTCAAACTCACAGAGATTCGCCTGCCTCTGCTTTCCAAGTGCTGGGATTAAAGGCGTGCGCCACCACTTGGCTGTGGGCACAGTGTGTAATAAGTCTATTTCTGGCCCATCCATTAGCTTCCAAATAATGACATAGAGACGCATTATTAATTATGAAAGCTTGGCTTTAACTGGGGCTTATTCCTAACTACCTCTTATAACTTAAGTTAGAACATTTATACTCATCTATGTTCTGTCACATATAGTCTATCCTGCTGCTTCTGTGTCTCCTGCGGTCTCTCAGGAGCCTAGATTCATCTCCTACTTTCCCTCTCTCTGCCTGGAAGTCCTGCCTATACCTCCTATCTAGCCAGTCAGCTTTCTATTGCACCCGTCAGTGTCTTAGTTAGGGTTTACTATTTATTATTTTCTATTTTAAGACCGTGGCAACGCTTAAATAGAAAATATCTCATTGTGGTGGCTCACTTACAGTTCAGAGATTCAGTCCATCGTGGCAAGGAGCATGGCGGCCTGCAGGCAGATGTGGTACTGGAGCTGAGAGTTCTTACTTACTTCTTGAATCAGAGGCAATAGGACGTCGACCGACACACTGGGCAGTATCCTGAGTCTATGAAACCTCAAAGTGATACCCTCCCTCCAGCAAGGCCCTACCCACTCCACCAAAGTCACACCTCCTAATAGTGATACTCCTTATGAGATTATGGAATCATGGGGACCAACTACATTTAAACTATTCAAACTACCACACATAGAAAATACATCTTCACACGGTGTACAAATATCCCACAACAAGTTAGTGTATCTTTTGTTGTGGTTTTGTTTTTGTTTTTCAAGACAGGGTTTCTCTGTGTAATAGCCTGGAACTCACTTTGTAGACCAGGTTGATCTTGAACTCAGAGAGATCCTCCCGCCTCTGCCTACCAAGTGTTGGGTGCTGGGATTAAAAGTGTGCACTGCAACCACCCAACAATAGTGTATCTTTTATTACTCTGTCTTCTTGCTAATAACATCATAACCACAGACTAAATACTTTTCTTTGAAACAAGGTCTCTATGCCCTGGCTTTCCTGAACCTCTCTATGAAGATCAGGCTGGCTTCAAACTCAGAGAGCTCTGCCTGCCTCTGCCTCCAAAGTACTGGGATTAAAGGCATGTGTCACCACTGTCCAGCAAGGCTGAGTACACTTTGAAGTAAATATTATTTGGGACCCTAATTCTAGTGTAAGGGTAAAAAAACTACAGTTGATGGCATCTGATGTGGAATTTCCCTCTGTATGCTGTGATTACCATTAATGAATAAAGGAACTGCTTTACACCTACAGCAGAACTATAGGGGAACAGAGCTAGGCAGGGAAAACTAAACTGAATGCTGGGAAAAAGAAGGGTGAAGTCAGAGAGAAGCCATAGGGTTGCCACCAGAGACAGATGTGATGAAACTTTGCTGGTAGGCCACAGCCTCATGGTGATGCACAGATTAATGGAAATAGGTTAAATTAAGATGTAAGAGTTAGCCAAAAAAAATAGCTAGAGCTAATGGGCCAAGCAGTGATTTAAATAATACAGTTTCTGTGTGATTATTTCAGGGCTAAGCAGCTGGGATCAACAAGCAGCTTCCTTACTACAAATTGGTACCCAATGTAGGGCACTACTTCCTCATAAAAACCTGAGAAAGCTTAAAAAAATAATTCTAGACACAAAAGAACAAAGTTAAGCATGGTTTGCTAGTGGCATTTTCTTGGATGGGCTCTGTTTGTTAAAAGCAAGCAGAGGCATGGCTCCTTTAAGAAAGGTTTTCCTGACTCCGTGGTATAAGAAAAGCTGTGCTGTTTTGAAATGTTGGCTTTCTGGGTCATGAGCATGACCTCTGGCTTTTTGGGGAGATGGAGAATTTGGATGGGGTTTGTGAGCATTGTGCTATGGCTTGCTTGATGGCAATGTGGACTGTATGCCTGAAAGTGGAGGTGTGCATGGCTCTCAGAGGCACAAGTAGCTCCACTATGCTGGACTGGTGGGGCAAACAGGAAGTAGTGTATTTGACCTAGTAATGTCTCAGTTTAAGCTTTAAGAAACACTTAGCATTCTAAGAAATTTTCATGGACAGTAAATAATTACAGATACACAGGACAGATTCAGAAATAAAAGACCTCTAAATGGGTCAAAGTGTTGGATAAATGTATTTAGGCTTGGGAGAGAGAGAGGAAAAAGAGTACAGAGAATTATAAAAAGCAGTAAATGGTTTTTTTTAAAAAAATAAAACCAAGTCTTTAAAGAGACAGAGTACAAATAGTCACAGATTAAAGGAGTAAAGATAAAAAAATATTAAACTTGTAAGAAAAGTAAAAGAGTAAAAACAAGCCACATAAAGATGGAAAATTCACAGAGAATCTGGATATGTATATTATTGTGTTATCTTTGAATTTTTTGACTGCAAAAGAGACATTTGATTCTGAGGACTGCTAAGCTAAGCCAAAATATATATTTCAAAGGTATCTTGAATTTTAAAATTGAGTCTAAGAATATGTTGCTTTGGAAAAGATGGTCTTCTTTTGTTTCCACAGAGGATGAGAACCTGTGGATTGCTTCCAGACTAATATGGTTTGATGGACCAAGAATTCATGAAAGGTTGCCTTGAACACCCCTCAAAAATTTACTTCACCCAGTAAACAGCAGAAAGAAGTTTGGACAGAACTATGCCCATATTCCCAAATATTGCTTGTAAATGTTCTTTTACATTTAAAGGGGGAATATTCTATAGAGATGGATACTTTGCATTGGTATGGATCTTGATTTATTGATACAAATTTAAGGTCAATTTTGTTATACTGTGTATATGTATTTCTGATCTTGATTAAGGTATTGTGTTTGAGAAGCTCATTTAAAAATGTAATGTATAATTAAGAAATATAGGTTAGTAGATAATCATCTATAATAGTCAAGCTTGTAGTCATGATATGTTTTCTAGATATATAGAGATATATTTCAGTTAGATAGACAATCTTCAAACCTTTCAAAGACTACAGAATATAACATTTTAAATGTTTTAAGAACTTAGGACTTTTCATGACAGTGAGACACATCTGATCCTGGCAGCACCAGCCTACTTCAGAGGAAGATGGGCACTGAAGAGGCTCATTATTGAGTTGATTAGCCATTTGGGCAAGAAACTAATCTTGCCTGTACTGTTTGACAAACTGGACATGCAGGACCCAAAGAGAAATGACTGCTGAACTTGCCTAAAGGTGAGATGCTCCTTTAGGGTTCCTGCTTCATGAAAGAGTCTGCTAGACATTCTGCAAGACACAGAAGGAAGTGACTGACAAACTGCCAATATAGGCAGAACTGTCTTTGAAATTTCCTGCTTTATGGAAAAATCTGCTGGATACTATGGGCCTGTAGGCTGAAGATGGAGGCCCCA